CTTGCAGTCCTATGATTTTGACTTCAAAGTACTGGTGTTTACTGAAACCTGGCTCAAGCCGAATGTGTTCAACTCGGAAATTTTGTGTCCTAAGTATGAAGTGTTTCGAAACGACCGTTTAAATAAAAAAGGTGGAGGCGTCTTAATCGCTGTCCAGACTGACCTTTCTTCTGAAGAAATTGAGTTCACTGACACCGATGAAGTTGAATTCCTCTGCGTTCGAATAAGATATCATTCTATTAGCGTTTATCTTGTTGCTGCTTATATACCACCTAACTCGAGCCTTTCTGTTTATTTAAAACACTCCTCCTTACTGCTNGTGTGAGAAAACCAATCAATTCACTTATATGATCTCGGTTCCGATATTAAATAATCAGTAATTGTTTATACCAGCATTTTGGCACATTGGCTCGTTGAATGTGCCATCTAATAAATAGTGTCGTCATTCTCCTTAGCTGCTTTTAAATGATGTTGTCACAAATTGCTGGCGGAGACATGAATACAGTGTAAGAAAATTCTTTTTCTATAATTGTTTCCTTATAGAAAAGTTGGTTTCTTTTCCACCTTAGACATTCCGAATGTTTATTGTAAGAACGACATTTTTTTCTATGAGTCGACATACTTTAAGCATTGTTGACGCTATTTAAGCTTTAATATTTACTGATTTATCGAGTATTTCATATTTCTCTAAATTACCGTTATATAAGATGTGGTCGTGGTTATTGTCCGATTTTAAAAATTCTCGGCCATTTGGTATGGTGTATCAAGGCGAACAACTGTGCCAAGTTTGGAAGAAATTAGTGCAGCGGCTACCAAGATATGCCCATGGGTGACAGGTAATAAGGTCAATGGAAATAAGGTCAATTGACTTTATTTCCCACCCTGGTGCGAAATAAAGTCAATTGACATTATTACCTTTTCAAAGGCGAAATAAAGTCAACAAAAATTTGGAAATAAAGTCATTGACGCTATTTCCTCATTCAAATGGAAATAGCGTCAACAATGCTTAAAGTATGTCGATTCATAGAAAAAAATGTTGTTCTNACCAATTGATTCTATTAAAAAAAGAATTTAAATTACGAATATGTAAAAACACTATGCGAAAAACTAAACGCCTGCGCACAGCTGGAATACCACAAATATTTGAAGAAAGAGTGGAGAAATGATCCATAACTTGCAAAACATTTTTCGTTTCTACAAAAATAAAGCGAACACTATTAAATTGAAGCAACAGTACATGTAAAAAACCCCGCAGCAGCACTGAAAGAATTCTGTGTTTTAAATTAGCATATTTTGAACGAATTCGGAATGTCTAAGGTGGAAAAGAACCCAACCTTTCTATAAGGAAACAATTATAGAAAAAGAATTTTCTTACACTGTATTTATGTCTCCGCCAGCAGTCATTTAAAAGCAGCTAAGGAGAACGACGACACTATTTATTAGATTATTATTATTCAACGAGCCAATATGCCAAAATGCGGGTATAAACAATTATTGATTATTTAATATCGGAACCGAGATCATANTGATTATTTAATATCGGAACCGACATCGTAAAAGTTAATTGATTGGTTTTCACACACTTTTGAAACACAAATTATATGCTGACAAGTTGTTGCCTCAAAACACAGCAGAAATCTTCCAATCAGGGCTGCCAACTCTCCTTAGTTATGAGGTGCCATATTGAGGATAAAAAAGTGCCAAAATGTGCCAAATAGAAAAATAAAAGTGCCAAAGAAGGTGTAATTCTTTTTAATCCACATTTAGCAATAAAATAAAGCCACATTTTCAAAACAAAAGTGCAAAGATAAAATAAGATAAACCAGTTGAATAGCCTTTATAAATTAGAAAATTTTAGTT